TTTTGCTGTTGGGCAGGCGGGAAGTCGCCCGTGCCAGCCGCTGGTGGTGAACCGGGAAGAATGGCCAGAAACATCCTCTCCTCCTCTGGCTCTAGCCATCTGTGGGGCCCAGGGGTCCGGTGTTGCGCTGGCAGCTCACGGAGGTCACCAAACCGTGATCCAAAAACCCGTGTTGGTTACCGGGCTGTGTGTGGAGCTCTAACCAGGCTGGGAGGTGACCCAAGAGCTGCACCGGGTGTGGCTCAGGCTTCCCAGGGCTCAGCCCGGGGTGGATGCTGCTGCAGGACGTTGTCCTCCTCTGTTCCCTTACCGTTTCTGTGTCTCTCGGTGCCCACACATTCAGCCACAGAGTTTTGGGGAGAAATCTCCACCTGCAGGGTCCTGTGGGAGAAGGTGCTTCCCGGGATACCTCCTCTGGGGAGCAGGTCCAAGGCAACCAGGCGCCTTTTGGGCGCTGTGACGCCACTGTTGTGCTGTTGGCCTCGTGAGTTCAAAGGAAGCAGTGACATTTGTTTTTTCCTGCTGCAGCGCCGCGGATCCCGCACCCCCATGGATCAGATGCCGTGAACAGTTCCTGGGCTGAGCTGGTTTTTCAGGTGAGTAGGGCTGCAGCAGGAGACGGTGCCTGGCCTGGTGCTGCCGTGGCACTGAGATCACAGTGCTGCCCTGCAGGGTTCGGTTTGGCTGTAGCCATGCTTGCTGGGGTTAAGCAGGACGGAGCCACCCACAGTTCCTACCAGTACGTGGCTTTACTCTTGTTGTAAAGCTGAGCGAGTAGCAGCTGCCATGAACGACTGGTTTTGGACAAAGTGTGGTTGTAGCACGGAGATAAAGGTAAATTGTTTACTCCAACCTTTGCTTTCAAACCCAGCTCCAGTCCCAGGGGAGCATCACTGCAGGTCCTTGTGACCAGAGCAGTGTTTCAGGGGAGAACAAAACGTAAACAACTCTCCTGCAAAGGTTTGGGTTGCAGCTCCCCAGAGCAGTTGCGCTTTGTGGGTGAAAACAAGCTACTGTGTCCCACATTCAGCACGAAAAGAAGTTAAACAAAACAGGAAGCCTTTGTTAGGGTTATAAAAAGTCTTTCAGGTTAAAAAAAGCCACCTAAAAGTATTACTGGTAATACATTGCACTTGAGAATGTTTGGGTTGCTTTTTCTTGGTGGGTCTTCAGCTTTCTTTGAGCCTCTCTGGGTGCTTTGATCTGGATGCAGGGTGCAGCTCTGAACTGGCATGGGTCCTCATTTGGGTCATTAAAGGCCTGGGCTTCTAGATTTTTTGACAAAGGGGCTGCCCTGGTCGCAGTGTCAGGTCTGGTATCTGTAAATGATAAATTATTTGATTGTGGTCCCGTAATCCTTAGCCCCGTGCTGCGTGTCTGTTGGGTGATGCAGGCTCCTGGTGTGGTTTTTGGTCTGCCCTGGATGCAGGCCTGGATATGAGTGGTGTGGCTCATTCTGGGGAGATGGTGACAGTGCCTCTTCATCTCCACCTCCATAACCACCTCATTCCCAAGAGGCACTGAAGCAGTATAATTTGTACCTGGTGACCAATTGGAACAGGCTGATGCAACGTGGGACCAATATACAGGAGGTTTCAGGGCCAGGGAGGAGAGGGTGTCCGGTCTTGAAGCTTCACGCACGAGAGGAATTGAAGCGTGTGCGTTCTGCTGCAAATAAAGAGCTTTAGAGAGCAATTTCTCTTCCGAGTGCTAGCTTAACTCCCTCCTTTCTCTTCTCTCCCCTTGCTGGTAGCGCATCAGGAAGCATGGAGCACCAGGTGCCTATCATGTCCGACTGGGTGCTCCTGGGGCTGATCGCGGCACTGGTCACGCTGCTGCTGCTGACCGTCTTCGGTTTCGTGGTGTACTCGGGACTCTTCGCAGAGGTGGTGGTGAGCGCCGGCTCCCCGCCTGTCGGCAGCATCACGCTGGCCTACAAGTTCAGGGTGGGCCCCTATGGGGAGTCGGGGCAGCTCTTCACGGACGGCTGCAGCATCTCGTCGAAGCTCTGCTCCATTGGCGTCTACTACGACAACCCTCACACGGTAAGGTGGGGCCAGCGGGCTCTCCTCAGAACCTGGGCTCCTGCCTCAGGAAGCTCCCTGACTGCATTCCAGGCGTTTGTGGCTTGTCCTTTGTAGGTGAGCACTGGGGTTCACAGGGTCTCCCCAGATGCTCTGTGGGGAAAGGCACCTGAAAGCAGATGATTTCTTGGATAACCCCAACTGGAAGGCATTGATCAGGCAAAGATTGCTGAACTTCTGAGCAGGTTATCAGCAGGATCTGGTTATAGAGTAGAGGCCAGTGTCGTGACCCCAAGGTGAGGCATTCCTTGGCAGGTCCCCTGGCTGCAGGAAGTGCAGCCAAGGCTCCTTCTGGATATTGCACCTCTGTGTTTGAAAGCAGATGGTCTTTTCAGCTTGGTTTGTCCTAATCCATACTCCTTCTGTTTCTAGTACTCATGTGTTTCTGAGCTTCCCTGTAGTCCTTTTGTCCCATGAGAGTTCTTACTGAAGCCTCAGGTGATGTGTGCTGAGGGCTCCTGTCTGATGAAACAGTTACTCCATGATGCTCTTCAGGCCCAGAGGTGAGCAGAAAGTGCGTTGCCTGGTGGCTGCCAGCCAGAGCTAAGCACCCTGGCAGGTACGGTCCGGGACAAGGAGCAAATGGAAGTGCACCAGAACTTGCTGGGGGACGAGGAGCCTGGCTGCTGAGGCTAGGTGGCACTGGCGCCTCCAGATAATGGCATGTAGGCATGTGTCTGTGGCAGACAGCGTGGCTCCCCAGTAATTCTGCAGTAGCTAGTGTGACCATGGAGGAATGCTGTGGGAGGGAGGGAGGGAGGGAGGGACATCTATGTGGCCGACAGCTGTATGTGCATGCTTGGGTACATGTGCTGGGGGCTGGCATGGGCACAGGGCTTGGGCTGATAACTCACCTAGTGCTGCTGCTCTGGGAGTGACAGACCCTGCGTGAGGAATCCTGTTTTCATTGTTTGCAAGATGATGCTCCCAAGGGCTAGACGTGCGTAGCGGAAACTTGTCCCTGAAAACACAGTGCTGAGTGGCCTGTGACAGGGAGGTGTTGGAGGCAAGAAAACTGACCTTCATGGTACTCGGTGGAGCCCAGTGCACTCAGCCACCTTGTGTCTTTGTGTCCTGTGATGAGCTGAATTGTCTTTACCTTCCAGTTTTTGCTGCTGGATCACAGGTGGCGGAGAAGAGACACTGCAGTGCCTCCTCCTGGCCCGAGAAGAAGGGTGGTGAAGAGGACTTCACCTCCTGGGGTGATCTGGGCAGAGGCAGGTTTTGACTAGGCACACATGTACACATCTGTCCACAAGAAGTGTCATGTTGGGAGTGGGTGAGGGTTGGTAGCCATGGGAAGTGCCTGGTGTGAGTCAGGCCAAGGTCAGAGTGGCCAGTTTCCCCCCTGACTAATTTGTGTCCTTGTGTTGAGGTCCTTGTCTGGAGTTGAGAAGCCCAGTGCTGCTGCTTCTTTACCTGGTACCTCTGGGGGCAGAGTGAGGCAGTCAATGCTGTTGGGAGGGCTCAGCTTCCATACTTGGTGCTGCCCTGCTCCAGGGGTGTGATGTGAATGTACCTGTGTTTGCCGTGCAGACCTTTGGTTGGACACTGTGCCTCACCCCTCTGTTTGCCAAAGCCTGGGCTAGTGAAAGCTGATACTGCTGAAGCTGTGCAGGACATAGCTGTGGTGCCTAGGGCTCCACACGGTGGCAGGAGCCTCCTTCCGCCTAACACCCGTGGAATACCTGTGGGCACATTGTCAGACCTGAGTCTGTCTGAGCAGCCAGGGGCCTGGTGGCACCCTCCATGGATCTGTGGCTCCTGAACTTGTTGCCACAGAGATCTGTGTCTTACGGATGGACAGGCCAGGCAGGGTGCTGGGAGTGAGGATGTCCTTGGGCAGGATGGGCAGAGGGCTGCCTTGCCTCCAGGCAGTGAAGAAGGGGCCAGTTTTGAGTCACTTGGCCAGGGGCTGCAAAGCTCACGCCTGGAGTGCCAGCTCAGGTGCTGAGCACCCTGGTGTCCATGAGGTGCCCCTGTGTGCTCATACGTGCTGTAATGGCGAGGGCATAGGAGATGGCCTGCACTACTAGATCCTTATTCCTGGGGGTCCAGCAAGGCAGTATTGGTCACCCAGGCTGCCTTTCCCTTGGGAGGAAGAGATGACCTCCTCCTCTTCCTCCTTGTTCTCAGTGCTCTCCTGATGTTGGTGAAGCCCCCCCTGGCAGAGGCTGGTCTGTGTAGAGATGACCACCTACCATGGGTGTTGACTTGTCACCAAAAATAGATCTTTTGTCATCAGGCAGCAGAATGTGCCGCTGTGTCCGGCGGCGTCCCTGGCTGAGCGCTGACGGGCTCTGGCCAGACAGCCCCCTTGAGCCTGGCCCTCGGCCACCAGTTCCTGGGGGCCTGGTGCCCTGGCACTGCAGCAGGAAGGGGCTGATGCCCTGCAGATGCCAGCGTGGCTTTTGGGGTGCTGGCAGACTCACGGCCAAAGGGGGCTTTTGTGAGG